CGACCAAATTCAGCATCCTGACAGTGAAGAGCCTGACGTGATACCCTCCTGAGGGATTCAATGTGAAGGACACAGCATCTTCCCTGAAATGTTAATGTGAACCTCATCCCGTGCCTCCTTCACAGGAGGCAGAGCAGGTAGAGGAACAGCTACGCTACACCACGAGGCAACAGCTGGACAAGCACAGAGGGCGGGGTGGTACTTCCCAGCTGGTCTGGCTCAAGGAGTCAATGCCAAGGGGCAGAGGGGAGGCGACTTGGCGATAAAGAGAGGGAAGAGCTCTGGCCAAACACAAGGACCCGTAACCAGACACGAGTGCAAGTACAAGTTAACAGGCCACCTGAGGACGGTGAGGGACTGGTCTTTAGATGAAATCAGATTTGTTCTCCTCTTAGGTGTGCCAGTGGTTTCATCATTCAGGATGGACCAGGTTACCCACAGTAACAAAGAGCCCAAACTCTCTGTGGCTCAGGACGAAGGTCTATTTCTCACTCCCACCCGTGAAGCACCGTTTCGGAAGTAAGATGCTCCCCGATCTACTGCTCTTTGTACAAGACAAATTTAGCTTTTCCTTTGAGAATGAGAGACTCCTACTGATCAGGGTAGGTGGTTGCAGGCAGTGCGCCTTGGAGTGTGATTCTCCTGCCATTTTGCATCAGAATCGCCAAGATATTTTAAAATGCAAATGCTTTATTGCTATGTAAATGCTTTTTTAACCCCAGAGTCCCAACCACCACTTGCTGAATCCGAAACTCAAAGCTAGGGCCTTAGGAGTCTACTATTAAGTCTTATAGCTCCTGAAGTCTGCTTTCAGTTACACATCCCACTATTTTATAAAAGTTGCTGTGCAAAGGATATTTTACTTGCCCAGTGATAACTAGAGTAGCATTAATACTGTTTACAAAAATGGCAGAAATTCGTGTTTGGCTTTTTTTTAATAAGATGGCAAACACTACAGTATACTGTTTTAGAGATAATCAAGTCCATACTTTACCTTAGGGTTCACTCTAAATTACAGGCTTTTTTTCTAGTACAGGTTCCTAAAGCTTACAGTGACTTTTTAAAAAAAATTTATTGGAGTATAGTTGATTCACAATGTTGTGTTAGCTTTTGCTGTACAGCAAAGTGAATCAGCTATACATATACATATATCCACTCTATTTTAGATTATTTCCCCATATAGGTATATTGACATTTTTAAAAAGAGGTTCTACATTTTATTTAATTAATCGAGGTATGCTAATGCCAAATGGACAACTACACAGAGTAGCCAACAAAATAGCTCAAACCTGGGTAATGAAAATGGACCGATGTCATTAATAGTCTGCAACTGCTCTGTGTAGTACTGCAGGTGACTGCAGGCATTTCATCCAACTTGGAATGCCAACTGGAAATTGTCCAGTATTCTGAAGCTGACCTTCTGCACAAGGAAAAAAAGTCAGAAAACACTGGTTACACATCCATAAGAACGGCCAGAATCCGGATCACTGACAACACCAAATACTGGTAAGGATGTGAATGTAATTTATAAATTGCTGGAGGCTCTGTGTGGACAACTCTGAGAGTTAAAAACTCCAGGGAGATCCAGTCATAGAACGATGAAATACCACTGCAAATCTATTGGAATGAATAAAATTTTAAAAATGACAACACCAACTACTAGCAAGGATGCAGAGAGCAGGAATTCTCATTCATTGCTGGTGGGAATGCAAACAGTAAAGCCACTCTGGAAGACTGATTGGCGGTTTCTTACAAAATTGAACACACTCTTACCACACAAGCCAGCAATCATGCTCCTTGGTATTCAGCCACACAAAAATCTGAACACAGACACAGATGTTTACATAGCAGCTTTATTCATAACTGCTAAAACTTGGGAGCAACCCAAATGTCCTAACGACAGGTGAATGGATAAATAAACTGTGGTCCACCCAGACAATGGAATATTATTCAGAGCTAAAAAGAAATGAGCTACCAAGCCACGAAAAAACATAGAAGAACCTTAAATGTATATGACTAAGTGAGAGAAGCTGTAACCAATCTGAGAGGTTACTTACTGT